GCTGATTCATCAACTAATTTTTTGTATGTTTTTTCAAAAATATTTTAGTTGCTAATTTGTTATAATTTATAAAAATCATTAACGTCATTTTCGAATAACTTATAGTATTGTTAACTTTCAATAATATATATTGTTCCATCTATTCAAATTCATGTGTCACCAATAGAATTTCAAGAGTCAACAAAAAATTTTCTAAAAAAAATATATTTTAATTATGATTTATAGTACTTTTAAATATAACGTATAGTGTGTTTGTAGGCTCTTATTAGATTGAAAAAATATTTTAAATTAGTAATTATTGTAATTAATAGTGTATATTACGTAATTTTCAAATTTGTAATAAATTTTTTTAAATATTAAGTCTAATAATTTATAGTATCTTAAATGTAATCTTTGAATACACATAAATTAAAAAAAGAAATAAGACAAATAAATTATAAATTGAATAATTGACATTTTCAAATATTAATTTACCACAAAATGAAAGTGAAGGAAGAAGTTGTGAGGCAGAAATAAAGAGAAGGGAATGGAATTAGTGAGGTGGGGTCCATATCCATTAAAAGAGATTGAAATAAATGCATGGCAAATTGAAAAGGTGTCAAATAGACAGGAAAACGGCCCACATGCATTGAATTAGTTGGCAGCCATTGAGTGGGTCACTAATACACGTGGGAGCGTTTGCATTTCACGCTTTTGGCTCCGAAAATCGTGTGTTTATTTATTTAAAGGTAGGATAGTTAAAGTGCCTATTTGTGCATTATGAAAGTTGGAGGTCAAAGTTAAAATTTGAAGCCAAGTTTAGGGGCTAATATATGTATTATGCCTTTCCCTTGTCATAAAAAAATATATAATAAAATACCCACAACAAAAATCAAGAATTCATGATAAGAGAGTAAGTAAAACTTTCGAATGTAGTAAACCTTGGGATTGAAAACTTAATTGAACCTTGCTAACTAAAATTTAGATGTAGGGCGTGAGAAAAAACTCGTTCACTCACTCTGATAATCTTACATACCTTAAGCGCTCTAAATTCTTGAGAATCTTTGGAGAAAAGGATACATTAACTCTAACTAGTTTTATTTCTTACTCTAACCATGCCTGAGCACACTGCAAATCTACCCAGCTGCTGGATTAGAAGAGGTGGAAGTAAGAGCCAGAAGAGATGGTGGAAAATCATTCCACATTGCATCTTGTGGACTGTGTGGAGAGAGAGAAATAACAGACGTTTTGGAGATAAGTCCAATTCCATTCATAGAGTCAAATGGAATTGTATTGTATCTTTATTTTTTTGGTGTAAACAAGTAAACATAGAGGAATTAGAGCTTGTAGATCTGTTAGGCTCTCTGTAAGTAGTTTCTCCCTTTTATTGTTTGTTTTGTTCCCTTTTGAAGGTCTCCAGCATATAGGATATGCTGAGGAATACAACATTACCAGTTTCAAAAAAAAAAACTAGTTTTAAACTAATTTCAACAACTAAATAACATTATTTTAAATTATAAATTAAACTAGGGGTTAATTCAATTTTATTTGAACTTATTTCAACAACTAAACTACATTAACTCTAACTGGTTTTAAACTAATTCAAACAACTAAATCCGCCAACTAAACCACATTATTTTAAATGATAGGGGTTCATTAAATTTTATTTGAACAACTAAACTACATTAACTCTAACAAGTTTTAAACTAATTCAAATAACTAAATCCACCAACTAAACCACATTATTTTAAACGGAAAAGGCTCAAAAATACCCCTAAACTATCAGAAATGGCTCAAATTTACCCTTAAACTATATTTCGGCTCAAAACTATCATTCCCGTCAAAGTATTGGGTCATACTTACCCTTCTAGTTAACAAAAGTATATTAAGTGTCACGTGGACGCCACATAAGCGCCAAACATTTCTCACTTCCACGTAGACTAATAAGATCCCTAATATCTAATTTTCCCCTCATTTCTCCATTTCCCTTAGAAACGATTTCACCCCCACCCCTTTCCCCTCATTTCGTAAGAAACAATTTCACAGATTTCTTCATATTTCTTCATTTCGCGGCTGAGTTTCGAAGTTGACATAGATTATGAAACAATGTCGGAATCTTCACTTGAAAAATCGTATGCAAGAAGATGTCATTGTGGTCTCAATGTTTTCTTTAAATTCCCAAACTGATTTTCTCGAGTACATGATTCCATTTCTTGATATTAAGTCTTGATCTTATTTATAACATGTTGAGACTGAATAATATGGTATTGTAATCTGCCTGCAGAGGCTACCAGAAGGCCTTTGTCAAAGCTTCACGTGAAAGACCTTTGACTAAAAGCATATACTTGATGGAAATTCAGTCATTAAGGGAATTTGGATGAAAAGGTTTGGGAAGCTTTCTTCAAACCTAAGATTACTCCAAAATTGGATGAGATCTTATAATAAACTTTTGAGGATTTTTTTTTTTGAAAAAAATTGCTTAGAGAAATATGACAGTGGTAATTAGCACATTTTACAGAAGGAAGTATTAGTCTATTCCTTAAGAAGAGGAGTCATGGCTTTCAAAACTGACTTGGAACTTTCACTAACAATATGTAAATCATACCCGAAACCTGACAGACAATTCTTCCAAGGTTAAGATGATCAAGCCGTCAAATTTAAAGCATTGAGACCACAATGACATCTTCTTGCATATGATTTTTCAAGTGAAGATTCCGACATTGTTTCGAAATCTATGTCAACTTCGAAACCCAGCCGCGAAATGAAGAAATTTGTGAAATCATTTCTTACGAAATGAGGGGAAAGGGGTGGGGTGAAATCGTTTCTAAGGGAAATGGAGAAATGAGGGGAAAATGGGTGAAATCGTATCTCAAGAGAAATGAGGGGAAAATTAGATATTAGTGATCTTATTAGTCTATGTGAAAGTGGAAAATGTTTGGCCCTTATGTGGCGTCCACGTGGCACTTAACATACTTCTGTTAACTAGAAGGGTAAGTGTGACCCAATACTTTGATGGGGAGGGTAGTTTTGAGCCGGAATATAGTTTAAGGGTAAATCTGAGCTATTTCCGATAGTTTAGGGGTATTTTTGAGCCTTTCCCGTATTTTAAATAATAAATCAAACTAGGGTTCGTTAAATTTTATTTGAATTAATTTCAACAACTAAACTACATTAACTCTAACTAGCTTTAAACTAATTCCAACAACTAAATTCACCAATTAAACCACATTATTTCAAATAATAAATTTAAGGGTTAAGTGAAATTTATTTGAACTAATTTCAACAACTAAACTAAATTATTAGCTCTAACTAATTTTGAATTAATTCCAACAACTAAATCCACCAACTAAACCACATTATTTCAAATAATAAATTTAAGGGTTAATGAAATTTTATTTGAACTAATTTCAACAACTAAACTACATTATTAGCTCTAACTAATTTTGAATTAATTCCAACAACTAAATCCACCAACTAAACCACATTATTTCAAATAACTAATCAAATTAGGGGTTAATTAAACTTTATTTGAATTTATTTCAACAACTAAACCACCTTACTGCTAAACTAGTTTCAAACTAATTCCAACAACTAAACCACATTATTAGAAATAACTAATCAAACATTATTTGAACTTATTTCAACAACTAAACCACCTTAATGCTAAACTAGTTTTAAACTAATTTCAACAACTAAATTCACCAACTAAACCACATTATTTCAAATAATAAATTAAACTAGGGGTAATTAAACTTTATTTAAACATATTTCAACAACTAAACATGCTAAACTAGCTTTAAATTAATTCGAACAACTAAGTCCACCAACTAAACCACATTATTTCAAATAACTAATCAAACTAGGGGTGAATTAAACTTTATTTGAACAACTAAACCACCTTAATGCTAAACTAGTTTTAAACTAATTCCAACAACTAAATTCACCAACTAAACCACATTATTTCAAATAGTAAATTAAACTTTAAACTTTATTTGAACTTATTTAAACAACTAAACCACCTTAATGCGAAACTAGTTTTAAACTAATTCCAACAACTAAATATCTTGCAAGAAAATCAATTTTGTCATCAATAGGATCAACTAGTGTTGGTACTTATGCTTAACAAATATATTATTTCTAAATTTAAAGCTAAGTGTCAACACTAGATGGACACAAATCGATCTTGCAAGAAAATCAATTTTGTCATCAATAGGATCAACTAGTGTTGGTACTCATGCTTAACAAATATATTATTTCTAAATTTAAAGCTAAGTGTCAACACTAGATGGACACAAATCGATCTTGCAAGAAAATCAATTTTGTCATCAATAGGATCAACTAGTGTTGGTACTTATGCTTAACAAATATATTATTTCTAAATTTAAAGCTAAGTGTCAACACTAGATGGACACAAATCGATCTTGCAAGAAAATCAATTTTGTCATCAATAGGATCAACTAGTGTTGGTACTTATGCTTAACAAACACCTTATCCCCAAATTTAAAGCTAAGTGTCAATACTAGATTGACACAAATCGATCTTGCAAAAAAGTCAATTTTGTCATCAATAGGATCAACTAGTGTTGGTACTTATGCTTAACAAACACATTATCCCCTAAATTTTAAAACTAAGTGTCAACACTAGATGGAGACAAATCGATCTTGCAAGAAAATCAATTTTGTCATCAATAGGATCTACTAGGGCTGGTACTTATGCTTAACAAACACCTTATCTCTAAATTTAAAGTTAAGTGTCAACACTAGATGGACACAAGTCGATCTAACAAGAAAATTAATTTTGTTATCACTAGGATCAACTAGTGTTGATACTTATGCTTAACAAACACAATATCATCAAATAAAAGTTAAGTGTCAACACTAGATGGACACAAATCGATCTTATAACAAAACCAAATTTGTCATCTATAGAATCAACTAGTGTTGTCACTTATGCTAAACAAACACATTATCACTACACTATAAAAATTCAAGCAAACCCTAAACAAAATGCAAGTGTTGTACATTGAATAAAACAAATCTAATATATACAATAATTAAACTTTTGGAGGAAAAAATACCTCGACTTTTTTTAATTAGGGATGGAGATGGAAGGGTTGGCGGTAGTTGGCTCGACGGCATCGAAGATTGGAACCTTTAATTAAATTGTACCCCTGCACTTTAAATTTTGTACACCAAATTTGGTACATTCTATAGTTGTTGAATTTTTTCTTTAAAAAACTACTTTAACAACAGATAGGTAGCACAAACGGCTTATAGAACACATAAAAAGTTATACTCTTATAAATCACAAAATGCCATAGTTCAATTTGATACATTTTCTTGAGAAAAAAAAAGAGCCAAGAGAAGATTAAAGGCTTTCGGTACAAATTCAAATTTAGTTATATATGGAGGGCCAATTGAGATAAGAAGTACTTTATTGAAAGCCGTTATAACTTTGTGTATTGTGTGAAGTGTGGATGCTCAGATATGGAGGGCCAAAAGGTGTTGGGATATAGGTTAGCTAAGTCTAGAGTGAAAGTGGGCTAGTCGTTTCGACGATTGGATGATTCGAACTCACCAGCTCACTCTCCGATGAATTCGCCTTTGGTCACGACTTAAACTAAAAAAATTATTTCGCTTTGTTCTTGTTGTTTATAATAAGAGGGGGGAAAACGTTCCTCTGTTATAGTGAGAGAAAATTATCAAAAGGGTCCTTAAGCACTAGTGAAAGAAGAAATCTTGGAGCTAGACAAATGGTCCCAACCTTCGTTAAGCACTAGAGCTACATAAACTGTTTTGCAACCAAGCAAATCATCAAAAATTGCATCACTTCTCTGCCACTGTTAAGGGTAGAAATTTAACATCTGTAGCCTTAGTCCCTGTTAGTTATCATTGTATGTTACCCTTACAACAACATCAAGTAGCATAGGTATTTCACCTTGAATGTCATCTGCTTTGAAAAAAAAATTCGAAGCCTAGAGTCTATAGAAAATAGTCTATCTACCTTCTCAAACTCCACTTATGAAACAACAAACAAGACATGAATGTGCTAAGAAGTAACCAGATGTGCTAGTAAAATGTTCACCAGATTTTCCATAGATTATAAGCACTTGATATGCTCAATTTACACTACGAATTTTCAGTAAATGAATCAAACAGCCATGAAAAAACAGTAAACTTACTGATCTCAGGATGTCGATATTTTAAAAAATTAAATATCTTTAATAAATATTGACATCGAGAGATCAATATTGTTTAAATTAAATAATAATGTAAATATACCGACCACTTGAGGTCGGTGTTTCTTAATTTATTTTAATATACCGACCTCTTGAGGTCGGTGTTTCTTAATTTATTTTAATATACCGATCTCAAGAGGTCGGTTATATATATATATGACCTCCTAATTAAATAATTCAAATATATTGATCAACAGAGGTTTATCAATATCAAATTTAATATATAAATCTCCAAATAGATTAGTGTTGACACCTAATTTTGATCCTCCACAATGTATATTAATCATCGAGATTCTTTAAATTTCAAACGATTTGAAATAATTGATTTTATAAAATTTGTAATGTTTTTCAAGTTATTTTAAATTAGTTTAGTCAGTTTTTATAATCTTAAAATAGTGTGCATATATATATATTATAATTTTGTATATAATTAGTATATTTTATGAATAGTCGAAAATCATCTCAAAAGATTTTATTTTCTTGCTTAAATATTTTTATTATTAGTTTAATTTAAATTATAGTTATAATTTTGAGTCAATTAGTTTATAATTAAGTTAATTATTTCATTTTGTTAAGACTAAGAAAATGATTCATTATTCATGATATTTAATTATTAGTGGAATTTACTATTTTAATCAATTTGAGTAAGACCATAACTTCGATTGAAATTCATATGGTCATTTTCTTAATTGCAATTTTAGCTATTCCTCACATCATCCTAACTAGGGGTGGGCGTCAGTGGCGTAGCCACATGGTGGTCAGGGTGTTCAATTGGACACCCTTCGTCGGAAAATAATACCGTATATACAAGTAAAATGATACACGAAATGATTAAATAACATAATTTGGACACCCTTAACACAACAAGTTATTGTAGCCCAGTGCTTTCACCTCCTAGGAATGAGCTATTTCTGGACACTCTTTGTGAAATTCCTGGCTCCGCCACTGGTGGGCGTTTGGTCGGTTTGTAAATTTCGGTTCGGTTTTTCGGTTTTCGATTTGGCAAAAATGTGAAACCAAACCAAATTGAAATAAATTCGGTTCGGTTATTACAATTTCGGTTTGATTTTTGATTTAACCAAATTTAATAAATAGTGGTACATTTTCAAAATTCAATCACTTTTTAATGCTTTAAGTACGTCTCACTTTCTCTTTTTTTCAGATACAAGAAACCAAAAACAAACAAAACAAAACAAAACACAGAGCATTATTATAGTTATAACACCAAACAAGCTAAGCTAATAATTTATTTCCCCTTGCAAAGCAAGCACTCTTCCAAACTTGGCTAACTCCTTTGCGATCATGCCCATTCAGATTTTGCTCTTAAAAAGATATGGAGCAATTTGAGGTCAACTCTTGATGAAGCAGCCGTGTATATATGTGCATAGTAACTTCGTAGCTTCATATGAATTTTCGAAGAATAAGGAAGGTACATGATTAATACTACATAGGAATGTCACTAATATATTTGCTTCATAGGCGTTACTATATCCTTCCTCAAAGCTTACAAGTTACAGGAGAAGTAGCCTCTAATTAGCAAATTATTTGACCTTATGATATCAGTCAAAAAAACAACCTTCCAACCAATTTCTCTGAAAAATTGTTTATAGTGTTAGATTTCATTATTAATTTACCATCAAAATAAAGATATCCATATGAGAGTTGGGACGCGATGAGCACTGACCTTTGAGTCACGACTAGTGAGCAAGCACTGAGCAGTGGCCAGTGAGAAGCGGCTTGCGGGCTGCGACTTGAGAGCACTTAGCGCGAACTGAGCAGGATGACGAGAGTTAAGAAACGAGCTGCGGCATAGTGTAACGTAAGTCGAGTGACGACTGACGACTGACGACTGACGTCTGACGAGAGTTGAGAGATGGTAGCTACTAGCTAGGGATTTCTAATTTGGGAAAATTGGGTTTTGGGCCACATTTGAATATGGGTTATGGGCTTACTATGAGGCATTGCCGTATGGGCTGAAGTAATTTAATATTATAATTTACAGGGGTAAAAAACTTAAGTATACTACTATAGAGGAAAGGCTCAAAATAGTCTTTCATCTTTGGGTTAAGGCTCAAAGTCATCCTTGAGTTTTACATGGAGCACTAATAGTTCCTTATGTTTGCAATATTGGTGCACTTTTGGTCCTTCTCAAAAATTTTGCCTATTTTTTAACATTAATTTTGTCCACAATTTTTGTATGATATGTTCAATCGTCATTTTATATATTTAGTAGAAATGATAACTCCATCTGAGAGAATGTGAGAAGAAAAACATCTTGTTTTGTTTAGTAGAAATTGTATTGCAGGTAAAGTCGAGAGGTTCATCACGATAATTTCACGTGCAATAGTTACAATTTTTTTTCTTTTCTTCCAACGTCATATGTTAAGATGTTCTTAGTTTAACTGCAGTAATATTTCTACTGAACAGAACAATGTGTTCTTCTTATCACCTTCTCTCACATAGAGTTATTATTTCTACTAAATATATAAAAAAGACGATTGGGCATTCCTTACATAAAATTGTGGGCAAAATTAATGTTAAAAAATAGGCAAAAAATTTTAGGAGGACCAAAAGTGCACCAATATTGCAAACATGAGGGACTATTAGTGCTCCATGTGAAAACTCAAGGATGACTTTGAGCCTGAACCCAAAGATGAGGGACTATTTTTAGTCTTTCCTCACTACTATATAACAATACCTTTTTTTTCACTTATATAGCAATAGTTTTTCTATAAAACTAGAATTAATATATATATATATATATATATATATAAAATTTTAATTTTTTTTTTTATAAAAAAAAAAAGAAACGTAGAATGAGTCACCCACCAAATCACATATCCCTTAATTTTCTCCAATTATTTTACCTTCCTGATTTACTCAGATTTGTTAAATATTCTCTTCCCGGAAGAGAGATTTCTAACAAAAAAAAAAACTCTCTGACTACTTTGATCGACAATTCAAAATGGATACCAATAATTTTTCAATTTTAATTCAACACAACAGGCAATAGGACTCATCAGGTATGTGAATAAAAAATGATTGATTTGGTATTTTTTTACGTTGCTAATATTTGTTTTTTCACACCGTCGGTGTTTAATGTTTTCGATAATTATTCGTTTGTTTATATTGTACGTCATTGTGGTGTATCATAAAATTTATATGATTTGATTATTAACATGGTGCATCTGGTAATCTTTAGGTTTAATAGCATGGGACTCATCACGTACGTTTTTTGGTATAAATTTAGTTTTTTGTTATATTATTAGGTTTAAGTAATATTTTTTTCTACGAGTAATATTTTTTTGTGGTATAGCAAATCAACTTTGGTGGTTATTAAACAGCCGATTCATTGAATATTTTTTGGTATAACTTTATGTTTAATTGATTACCGCACCAACGTAAGTTATTGTGCGTATAAAAATACCTAATTCGAATTTTTCTTATTATTTGTGATCTTGTTAAATTGGTATGTTTAATTGATTACCACACCAATTGGTTTCTTATCAATATGGTGTTATTGTTAATATTTAGACCTTATACAAAGACCAACTTCAAGTTAAAATTCGGGTACGTGTATTTGTGTATCTAATTGAGAAATTCTTTTGGTATGTGATTATATGTAATTGGTATGGTATATGCCTTATTTTGGTGTGTGATATTTTGTTATTGGTATCTTTAAGACCTTATACAAAGACCAACTTCAACTAATATTCTGGTACATGTGTTGGTGAATTTGTTTGTCTGACTAGTGTGATAACGAATTTTATACCTTAATTCTCAATTACATATGGTATTACTAATTTGGTGTAAATTATTTGGTGTAATTGATATTGTGAATAATGTTTTGGTGTGTGATTTGGTGAGTGAAATGGTAAGTGAAATTGTGGTGTCTAATTTGGTAAGTTTTTTGGTGTCTGATTTGATAAGTTTTTTTATGTGTGATTTGGTAAGTTTTGTTGTAAATATTATCGTACATCAAATTGGTGTATTA